ATTTATAATTGTTATATCTTCAATTATTCTTTTATCAAATGTTTTTAAAATGTCTGATATACTCTGTCTTAAAGTCTATTTTATCTGATACTAATATAGCTATTTCACCCTTATTTTTACTGTTTGCATTGTATATATTTTTCCATGTATTACTTTCATCTGTGTCTATATGAAGTTGTGACTCTTGTAGGCTGCAGTTAGCTAAGTCTTTTTTAGTATCTCTGATGATCTTTTTTTATTGGAGGGTTTAGATTATTAACATTTTGTAATTATTGATATTGTTAGATTTAGGTCTACATTTTGTTTTGTTTGACCTCTACATTTTTAGTTCCTTTCTTCCCCCCTTTCCTGCCTTCTTTTAGATTACTTATATATTACTTACATTACTTAGCTATATTTAGTATTCTATTTTAACTTATCTATACCTTTTTGAGTATTTCAGTACATTTTTGGGCATTTTGGTATACATTCCTAACCTTTTCAGTCTACTCAGAGTTCATATTTTACCATTTAAAAAAATAATATTTTGAACATTTATTTGTTTTTGAGAGTCAGAGAAGGAAGTGGGAGAGGGGCAGAGAGAGAGGGAGACAAAGAATACAAAGCAGGCTCCAGGCTCTGAGCTGTCAGCACGGAGCCCGATGCGGGGCTCGAACCCACAAACTGCGAGATCATAGCCTGAGCCAAAGTCAGACACTTAACTGACTGAGCCACCCAGGCACCCCAGTATTTTACCATTTCATACAAGATGCAGAAATTTCCAACCATATGGGTCCCTTTTGCTCCTTTCCTCATCATTTCTCCTAGTTGTAATATGTATGACATATTACATGGAAGCCTTGCAAGGCAGTGTTTTAAGTTTGGCCTTAAATAATCATATGTGATTTTTGAAACGTAAGAGGAAAACAGTCTTTTATATTTTACTCAGATGTTTACCATTTCTTTTATTTAGTTCATTCCTCAAGATCCACGTTTTCCTGTGCTATAATTTTTCTTCATCTTAGTGAACTTTTTTATATTGCAAGTCTCCTGGCAATAAATTCTCCTGGTTTTACATTCTCTGAGAAGGTCTTTCTTTTGCCTTCATTCCTAAAGAATATTTTCATTAGATATACAAGTTTAGATTGAAAATTTTTTTCTTTCAGTACTTTAAAGATGTTTACAGTCTAATGACCTCTGTCATCTTTATGAGAAATCCAGTCATTTCCAATCAATGTTCTTCTGTATGTGGATGCCATCTTTCTTTGTCTGCTTTCTGTCTTTATTTTTCAACAGCTCAATTATGATGTATCCAAGTGGGATTTTTTTTTTTTAAATTGACACTGATGGAGGTTCACTATGAAATTCTCAAGTCTGTACATTTGTCTTTGAATAAATTTCTGAAGTTTTCAGTCATCAATTCTTCATATTCTTTCTGCTCCCCCCCCCCCTTCTGGAACTCTAGTGACACATATTAAACCATTTCAGATTATCCCATAGCTTTCTGATGTGCTGATCTATCTTCCTCCTCCTCCTCTTCCTCCTCTTCTTCCTCCTCCTCCTCTTCCTCCTCCTCCTCCTCCTCCTCCTCCTCTTCTTCTTCTTCTTCTTCTTCTTCTTCTTCTTCTTCTTCTTCTGTCTTTATTCTTTTTGTTCTTTAGATTGGGTAATTTTTGTTGATCTGCCTTTGAGTTCATTGACTCTTCACTGTTTTATCTCCATTCTAATATTCAGCCTATCCATTGACTTAAAAAATACAGATAATGTACTTTTCATTTGTAAATGAAAAATTTGTTGATTTTGTTCCTTTTTATATTTTTAATTTCTCCACTGAGATTTCCTTTATTATGTTTTCATTCATGTGTGCTTTGTTTTTGTTTTTACTTTACCTCATTGAGCTTAATTGTAATAGCTTCTTAAAAATCTTTGCCACATAATTCCAGTAGCTCAGTCTTCTTCTTGTAGGCTTTTATAGATCGTCTTTTCTCTTGAGAATGGGTTTCATTTTCCTGTTGCTTGTATGTCTAGTAATTTTAGATTGTATCCTGGACACCGTGTTATGTTATATAGACTCTGAGGTCTGTTATAATCTTATATAGAATATTGATATTTTTGTTTTAGCTGGCAGGTAGCCATGTTAGACTCAAACTGTTAATTCTCTCTAACCTTCTGTGGACAGTGGTTCTAATTTCAATTTAATTCTTTAAGTCTGTGCTTTAGTCTGCATTTGCATGGTTCAGAAGTCAGCCTTTTGTGAAAACTTTTGTGGTGTTTCATACATAGTACTAGGGCATCTCTTTTGACTTTCTCCCCAGGGGATTCAGTCCTCTCTCTGATAGCTGGCAGTGTTTACCTGGGCTCTCTTCCCTAGTTCCCTCTGACAGAAAGATAACTTCAGCCACATCTACTTAGTTCCACATCTACTGCCCAGTCTTGGGGCAAAGCTGCAAGAAAATAGGAAACTGAGGCTGGTGTCTCCCAAGTTTTGACTTGTCTCCACATCTGCCTCATAGAATTGCTTTTCAGAATCCTCAGCTAGTTTTCATCCTGTGTCCCATGCCTCCCTCCTCCACCCGCCCCCCCCAACTTGTAGTTGTTATCAGCAGAAGCTTTGTCTTTGGGGAGATCATACCACCATTCTGGAAGTAGAATTTGAATGAATAGGATTTTGACAGGGAGAAAGAGGAAACTCCAGAAAGGACCTTTCACAAGCTGACTACTCTCTCCTAGATTAGACTCATTGATACTTGCTTTGTCCAGAATTTGAGTTTCGGCTGCCATTATAATAGTTATCAGGATACATTTTGGGATACCTAGATGACTGGCTTTACTAATCAGACTGTTTATTGTCTGTTAATAATGTAGAATCCTTGAAATTATAACTAAAAATATATACCATACTATTGAGCATATCAAAGCATGTAAAGAGAGTGTTGTTTATTCTCTTGATGGAACCAGACTGAAGTATCCATGAAGAATATATAATTAAAAGAGTTTTAAATTTTGCCATCTAATTTATTATAGCTGAAGTTATGAATCTGCCTTTGTAGGAAAACAGTGTCTCATATCAAAGCTCTTTTCTCCTTAATCACTATTAAATATCCCTCTGTATCATAGATATTCAGCATCAGTAACAGCTAAGTTTTCGTGGTTATCATAACAGCTAGCCCTTACCATGCATTTCAGGTACTGTGCTAAGAGCTTTGCACAAGTTATTTCATTAATGCTCTTAACAGACCTCTAAAAGAAGTGACGTAATCCTCTTTTTTATACATGGATAAAAGAGCATAAAGGTTGAGTAATTTGTCTGCAGTCACACCACACAGGCTTGCCTCTTCCTACCAGTGAGGAGGAGTGAGAATTATAGTCGAAATGGAGATGACTAAGTTGGGTTAGAGGAACATGAGATATGCAGTGTTCCAAAGTCAGTGTTAACTCAGGTATAGCTAAATTGGTTGGCACCAAAATTGAGGCATAGACACAGTTGTCTGTGTAGTTCTTCCACTTGTATTGCTTGCTTTTCTTTTTTTTTTCTTTCTGTTTTAGAGAGAGTGTGCACAAGTTGGGGAAAGGGGCAGAGGGAGAGAGAATCTTAAGCAGGCTCCACGCTCAGTGTGGAGCCTGACACTGGACTGAATCCCACGACCCTGGGATAATGACCTGAGCTGAAATCAAGAGTTGGATGTTCAGCCGACTGAGCCACCCAGGCGCCCCTTTCTACTTGTATTTCTGAAGCCCTTTGCCACTTTCACCTCATTCTCATTGTGTACCCAGCACCTAAGTGCCAGATACTATTATCTGGGGGGTGATTCTTATCTTTTATTTTGTTCATTTCAATAAGCTGCCTATTCCCTACTTTCACAGGATATCTGGTGAAAAATTCACGGTGAGGAATTAATTGATAAATAGATTAATCTTAGAAATATGTCTCAGTGAAATTGCTTTCTTTTTTCATTTAGTGTGATCTTTTAAAAATGCATATTCAGTTGAGATCATGTGTGGCACATTTTTTTTTTCCAGAAGAGGAATGTACATAGAACTAGCATCATAGCCACAAATTGTTTATATCTTCCCTTTCTTTAACTTCCAGCATTGAAGTTGAACTCCCTTGAGTGCTCATCAAAGCCATAAGCACCATTTTGATGGAAGAAAGAGGAGTTATCACAATTTATACCCCAAAATTCTAAATACAGAATTTTGACCCCCCAGGTTAGCTCTATAAGCAATGTGTATGAAGTTGTGTTCTTCAGTGCTGTTTAGCTGCACTAACAAGGGAAGAAAAATGAAACAACTGAGAACCTTAAATCAGAGAGATTTATTTCTCTTTCAAGTAGAAGTTTTGAGATAGATTGGACCAGACAGATAACCAGCTGTGTTCCACGAATTCATTTAGGTGTCCGTGTTCCTTCTAATCTTGTATTTTTGGTGTTCCCCAGGGTATTACCCTCAGCTTTATGATGAAGCAAGATTACCACCACTCTGTCTGTGTCCCAGCCTGCAGTAGTAGGGAAAGACGAGTGGAGGACAAGCAGGTTTTTTTTCACAGGCATGATCCAGTTGCACACATCACTCTTGCTCACATCTTCTTTACACATGTTAGTTACATGGCCACATACACCTTAGTCGCATGGACACAGATGGTTGCAAATGAGGCTGGAAAAGGTGGTATTTAGCTGGGCAGGCCATAAGTCAGTAACTGTAGGGTTTTATTACTAAAAGGAAGAAGGGGGGAATATGGATATTTATAGGACCATTAGCAGTCTCTGCTATAGAATTTTTGCTAAACTATCCTACAGTCAATTAAAAGAGCTGGTAAGAAGTAGCCATACCAATGGACTTTGTGATGTCAAGTCAGTAGCATATTAAAATATAGTACAAGAGATTTAAGCAGGGATTTAAGTTCATGTTTTTAGAAACAAAGCACAAAACCAGATGTTAGAATTTGATGAAATATCTTCAAATTGTGTTAAAGTTGCTGGATATATGAGCTAATAATTATTTATTTTGTTCTTGTATTTTAGGCCTCAACTCCATATAGCATAGATTCAGATTCTTTGGGAATGGAGTGTATTATTTCGGGAAGTGCCTCTCCAACTCTGGCAATCAACACTGTGACTAACAAAGTAATTCTGTTTTTTTAAACACTTTTGAAATGTGATTGAATAATACATTTAATTTGCCTTTATAATAACAATAGAGTTCTGTATGAGTGAGGTTACAGATGATATAAATTTGGCTAACCTATTCATGGCAGCTTGAAAGCTTGAATCCACAATGTTTTGAGGTGTGCACAAATTAGAAGGAAATATTTCTCTAAAGATTAAGTTGGAGGATGCTTATTGGGAAGCTCTATATTAATTTAAATCCTTGACACTGCCAGTTCCCAATGATAAAATTTTGAGTCTGCATTTTATCAAATCAGTTTGTTTAAAAAAAAACCATTGATTACCCCTCTAAATATGTGATTGAAAAAGAAAAGATTGTCAGATTCCCAAGCAGTCAGCACAATCCAGGACAATGAATAATTTGGACAAACTCATACAGTTCATTGGAATGGTGGTCACCCTATTTCATGGTATTCAACTGTAGGTCCATATCCAGAAATATAGTATGTTATAATCTGCTGTCTTTCTCTCTCCTCTCTCCCCTCTCCCCTCTCCCCTCTCCCCTCTCCTCACACACACACCCATAACTATACTGACACAGTGTACACAGGATCTTTTTATTTGTACAAAGATAATAAACCAATAGAAGACAGTTTATAATTTTAGTGACTGATCATATTTACAATTTAGAAAGTAAACTGGCACCTGAGGTGTAGAGTATTGATTTTTCTCAAATAACCAGTCCATGGAATGATTCCATCAGAATCACTTAGGAGAGGTCTGTGTGGGTGCATATGTGTGAGTGTTTGGTGGTGGTGGTGGTGGTGGTAATTACAAGGTTTTATAGCAGGCCTACCAGATCATTTATTTTACACTTACGGATAGGGTTCAGAAATCTGTACTTTAAGAAATCATCCCTTATTGTGCCCAGCTAGACTTGAGAATTTCTGGTGAAGCAGAATGGGCTAGGATCAGAAATATCCAATACTGTTCTTTGTGGTAGTCCAAGTAGGAGGCTTAAACATAGGTAGTTATGGCTGTTAGGAAACAATTAGGAACTAGTTATGCTAGGACTTCATGATGAAATAATATGGAGGTCAAAGGAGGTGGAGTTTTTGGACTTCTAGATACAATGGAGTAGCTAGTTTTAGATTAATTGTTCTTCCTATCTATATAAAATACCACCATCCCCCACTACCAATAAAAAACAGGGAAGAGGCACTGGAGAACAGAAAAGCCAGGCCTTCAGGGATGAAGATCCCATAAAAAAGGGAAATACATTGAGATAAGCCCTACAAATTTTGCCTTGGGACATTTCTCAGTTCTTAATGCATGGCATACAGACTGAAAAGAAAACAGAAGCCAGAAGCAGCCATTGGGTTAGGGAGACAAAAACTGGAGTTTGGGGCTACAAAACAGCCTGGGCTTGAGGACTAGATCCTCATGGATCTCAGAAGTAAGTTTACCTTCTTGCAAGTAATATCCACTTAAGGCATTTGCTAACTCCTGATTCATTTATGTACTTGGGCTCAGGCCTAGACAAAACAAGTGGATTTTTCACTACTCAGAATTAAGCAGTCTCACAGAGAAGGAAGGGACAACAATTGTCGTTCATGATCTTCAGGGAGGAGGAAGCCATGGTAAAAGGCTTTCAAGTTACCTCAGAAGGGTTATGTTCCAGAGGAAGAGCAAACCAAAATAGACCAACTGCAAATTATTATCGGGTGGTTGCTAATATTCTTCTACTTGCCAAAAGAAAACTAAATCCTTTCTGGAAGAAGATAACATCATACTGAGCTTTTGCAGTTTTTCATAAGATCTCAACTTTCAGTCAAAAATTTCAGACATTCCAGGAAACAGGACCAAATAATTAAGTGACAAGGGGGTGGGTACAGAAAGACAACATAAACATATCTACAAGTGATCTAGATATGGATTTTTAAAAAAAATTTTTTTTTTCAACGTTTATTTATTTTTGGGACAGAGAGACAGAGCATGAACGGGGAAGGGGCAGAGAGAGAGGGAGACACAGAATCAGAAACAGGCTCCAGAGCCTGATGCGGGGCTCGAACTCAAGGACCGCGAGATCGTGACCTGGCTGAAGTCGGATGCTTAACTGTGCCACCCAGGCGCCCTGATATGGATTTTAAAATAACTATGACTAATATGTTCAAAATAGTCGAATTATAGAAAATTTATCCAAGAATTGGAATCTGTATGGAAGGATCAAGAGGAAACTTTAAAATTGAAAAATATAATAACTGAAATTAGAATTTGATAGATGGGTTCAGCAGTAAATTAGGCACACCAGAGGAGAGAATAGTGAACTGGAAGAAAGGTTCGTAGAAAATAGAATGAAACACAAAGAAAAACAATGAAAATTCAGAAAAACTTAAGGGATAAATGGGATATGCGGGAAAAAGTCTAACAAACTTTTTAGTCTTCCAGAGGAAAAAGGAATAAGGAAGGAACAATATTTTAAAGTTTTTAAACTGATGATAGATAACACAGTACAGATTCAGGAATTTCTGAGAACCCCAAGAAAGATTAATGAAAAGAAACCTTATTGGGCAAAGAAAATCAAGCTCCTAAAAAAAACAAAGATTAAAACAATCTTAAAATCAGAGGCAAAACAGGCAACTTCAAAGGAACAACAGTAAGCCAGGCACTGACTTCTGAATAGAAATATTAAAAGCTAGACATGAGAATGAAATTTGTATCGTGCTTAAAGGAAATACCTACTAATCCAGAATTCTGCAATTAAAATTTCTGTGGAAAATGAAGGTTAAACAAATAGATTTTTACAAAAACAAAATTAGAGAGAATATGTTACTAATACATCAGTAGTAAACAATTAAAGGGAACTAATTTTTTAGATAGAAGGAAATTATCCTGTGCTGGAAAGAATGGAGAACACTAAAAGAGTATGTTGATCAATGTGAATGTGTATTGAGTATTTAAAACAATAGCATTTCTGTTACATAACACAATGCCTTTGAGTCTAAAATACTACAGAAGTTAAAATACATCACAATACTAGGGTAAGGCAGGAAGAAATATAATTGACCCTTGTACAATGTGAAATTTAGGGATGTCACCTCCCATGCCCCCCAAACAATTGAAAATCCGTGTATAACTTTTGACTTAACTAATAGCCTACTGTTGACTGGAAGCCTTACTGATACCATAAATAGTTGATTAATACATATTTTGTATGTTATATGCATTATATTCTGTATTCTTACAAGAAAGCTAGAGAAAAGAAAATGTTATTAAGAAAACCTTAAGGGAGGGGCGCCTGGGTGGCGCAGTCGGTTAAGCGTCCGACTTCAACCAGGTCACGATCTCACGGTCCGTGAGTTCGAGCCCCGCGTCGGGCTCTGGGCTGATGGCTCAGAGCCTGGAGCCTGTTTCTGATTCTGTGTCTCCCTCTCTCTCTGCCCCTCGCCCGTTCATGCTCTGTCTCTCTCTGTCCCAAAAATAAATAAACGTTGAAAAAAAAAAAAAAATTAAAAAAAAAAAAAAAAAAAGAAAACCTTAAGGGAGAGAAAAAATATTTTTACAGTACTGTATTGTATGTATGTATTTATTTGTATTTATTTTTAATTTTTTTAATCTTTATTTATGCTTGGGGGCGGGGGAACAGAGTGGGAGCTGGGGAGGAACAGAGAGGGAAAAATGGATCTGAGGTAGGCTCCAGTCTCTGAGCCATCAGCACAGAGCCCGACGTGGGGCTTGAACTCACTGACCGCGAATTCATGACCTGAGCTGAAGTTGGACGCTTAACCGACTAGGCCACCCAGGCGCCCTTGTATTTTTTTATTTTTATTTTTTAAAGTTTATTTGTTTTTAGAGAGAGAGAGAAAGAGCAAATGTGTGCCCACACAAGTGGGGAAGGAGCAGAGAGAAGGGGGGAGAGAGAGAATCCCAAGCAGGCTCCTCACTGGCACAGTGCACTGTCAGCACACTGTCAGCACGGAGCCTGACACAGGGCTCAAACTCCCAAACCATGAGATTATGACCTGAGCCAGTGTCAGACACTTAACTGACTGAGCCACTCAGGTGCTCCTATTTATTTTTAATTTTAAATCAAACTCTTCACCCAACATGGGGTTTGAACTCATGACTCCAATATCAAAAGTTACATGCTCTACCTACTAAGGCAGTCAGACTCCCTAGTACTGTACTGGGTTTATTGAAAAAATTCTCTGTATAAGTAGACCCACGCAGTTCAAATCCATGTTGTTAAGGACCAGCTGTGTATACAGTTGAAACCTTTGCATTACATGGGAATTGGTAAAAGTACTAAGTCAAGGGCTTGTTGTGATATTTAGGGCAGTGGTTATTTTAACACACCAGCATGTATCAGAATAACTAGGAGGACTTGTTAAAACCGAGGTTGCTGAGCCTCAGAATTTCTGATTTAGTACATTGGATTGGGGTCTGGAAATTTGAATTTTTTTTTCTTTTTTTAAGATTTAAGTAGTCTCCACACCCAACATGGGCCTGGAACTCACAACCTTGAGATCAGAAGCCACATGTTCTACCAACTGAGCCAGCTAAGCACCCCTGAAAATTTGAATTTCTAGTAGTACTCAGATACTGGCTCTATTATTGCTTACTACAAGAAGAGTAAAAGAATATAAAATAAGCAAGGAAAAATAATAAATCCAGAAGTAGACACAAAAGGAGAAATAAATGAGCAAAGAAGAGATAGAGAAATAGGAAAATAAATATGTATTCAGATTGAATTATGTTGGGAAATGTAAATGAACAAAATATTCCATTTAAAAGTCAAAGATTGTCAGACTGGATAAAAAAGTAAAATTCAACTTACGTGCTACTTACAAGAAGTATTTCTTAAAGGACAAGACACATTACTGAAAATAAAGATACTTTATTATGAAAAAGGATCATTTTAGTAATACTAAATTTGTCGGCCTTTTAAAGCCAACAAAACTAAAAGAAATAGATTAAGTCCTTCATCAGAGGAAGATTTTAACATATGTCTCTCTATA